CCCTGGAGAGCAGTAGACTCTAGCAGCCAGTTCCCCGGGATGGGAGGTTATGAGAAGAGAGAACCTTGGATCCAAGTCTACATCTGTGTTCCAGCATGAACATGAGGGGTGGTCACCCTGGTTGGGGCCACCACAGACTCCTACTTTATAAGTCAAAAGCACTCAGATTTTTGGCCAACCAAGGCTCAGTGAGACTCAGGATGACATGACATCACAAATAGCCTGTGATCCTGCCCCAGGAAAGGTTTGTCATCCTAATTGATATTCAGGTTATCTATTGTTTTATAACAAACTATTCCCAATTTTTTGTAAATCACTTAAAAATAATTTTGCTGGGGCTGGGGATGTGTCTCAAATGGTAGCGCGCTCACCTAGCATGCGTGAGGCACTGGGTTCGATCCTCAGCACCACATAAAAATAAAATAAAGATATTGTGTCCACCTAAAATTAAAAAATATTAAAAAAAATAAATCATTTTGCTAAGCTGGGCACAGTGGGACATGCCTGTAATCCCAGCAATTTGGGAGGCTAAGGCAGGAGGATTCCAAGTTCAAGGACAGCCTAGGCAAATTAGTAAAAACTTATCTCAAAATAAAATTTTTAAAAAGGGCTGTGGATGTAGCTCAGAGGCAGAATGCTCCTGGGCCCGATCCTCACTACCCCAAAATTTATAGTACTAATACTAATCTTGTTCATGAATCTGCATTATGGGGAGAGTTCAAGGATGCAAGCTGCTCTCTGTTTCATACAGTGTCAGCTGGAATGGTTTAACTTGGGGTCAGAAGTACTTCAGATGGTTCACTCTTATGACTGACATGTTGGTCTCAGCTAGAACTGAGGACCAAGGTCTTGGTTCTCTTCATGGACTGCCTGAGCTTTCTCATAGCATAGTAGTTGAGCTAAAGAGAAAGCATCCAAATTGACAGAAAACAGAAAGTGCCAGTGTCTTAATAAGGCAAGCACTCCACCAACTGAGCTATATCCCCAGCACCCTCTGCTGTACTCTTTTAGTCAAGGATCATGGAGTCAGATTTGAAGGGACACCCTCACCACCCCCCACCCCCATCAATGGGAGTAGCATCAAAGAATTTGGCTGCTCCATCACAGATGGTATGTTACTCCCTCAAAGGTTGATCTCGCATAAGACCAAATTGGAGCTCAGTCTAGTGGACGAGTCAGAAAATACTGAAGTAAAACACTCACACAAATTCCAAATGATGCCATCGTTCAAATGAATATTATACCTAAGACAAGTGCTAAGAAAGAAAGGAATGAGAGGAATTTCAAGGGAGATTTAGCCCTGTCTGTGGAAGGAAAAGCATCTGTAAGGAAGTGATTTTCTTGCTTAAATCTACAAAGATAACCAGGAGATACTTAGCAAAGGAGGTAGGGACAGGTGAGTAGAAAAGGATTCTAGAAAGAGAGAACAGTATACACAAAATCTCTGAGGCAAAAGGTGTTGGCAGAGGGTAGAAAGTAAAAGATTATTATGTTAGAAAACTAAAAAATCTCTAGGACAGTGAGTAGAAGCCAGGAATTTGGCAGAGCTTTGCCAAACCATGGCAGGCTATTCTGAAGACACAATTTTCATCCCAGAGGCAAAGGAAAGCTACTTGAAATGTTTTATTTATTTGCTGGCASAGCAGATTGAACCCATGGGCACTCTACCAGGAGCTACACTGCGAGCCCTTTTTATTTTTCGAGACAGGGTCTTGCTAAATTGCTGAGGTTGGCCTTGAGCTTAGGAACTTCCTGCCTCAGTTGGGATTATAGGCATGTGTCACCTCACCCAACTGGGATCTCAGATTTTTGCTGTCAGCTGTTCCTTGGGTCTCTTCTGCRTGGCTATGTGGTTGAATAGCAGTCTCAGGTAGTTGGATTCATATGGTGACTGGCATTCCCCAAAGTGCAAAAATGGAAACTGCCAGTTTTGCCACATTCTATCAGTTGAAGATCAACAACCAACTCAGATTTAGAATGGGGACTACACAAGGGCATGAAGATATGTGGTCTATTGGGGAACACCAAATCCAGTGACCACACAGAATCCCTCCTGGGATTCTGACTTTTGTACTTGGATAGTGATGCTGTTCATGGGAATGGAAGCCCTAGGTGTGGCTTCCATGYTCCTACATTAAAAAAAAATTCATCTCTGTAGGAAGAAGAGTGATTTTGTTGCAAGTCTGAATTGAAACTCTCTGAGGAGTTGCTTTCACTGATCCTTCAGATTGGGTTAAATCCCTGTTATGGATTCCTTGCTCCCTTAGGTCTTCCCTTTGACATTCATCCCACTGAGAGCATTGTCTAAAGTCTGGCTTCCCTGCTAAATGTTCACTTCAAGAGTTTTGGACCTAGGTCTCACTTGTTCCCTGACCCCTATCCCAAAAATGCAGACCATATGTCACATAGCAAGTTCTCAAACTTTGCTGAATTGAATCTCATGTCCATTTTGTTTAAACTGAAAGATATGACAATCTGGGCTTATGTAAATACCATGCATTGTATTTTTAAATCGACTTTCCTAAACATGGGGCACTGGGAAGAAGCCAACAAGGAACTTGGACTATACCTGGTTTTTCTGATGCTCAATCTTGTCTTCATCTGTAGATTTACTATGATATGCTGCAGCTGCTGTTATGTGATAGAAAATATGGACTCCATGATGCCATAGATACTATCTACTGTTGTAAACACAAATAATTCCACCCATGGATGATGTAAGACTGAAGCAGAGGACAACAGCTTCTGTAGCCTGAAATACCGTAAGGAAGTCAAGCATGTGCAGTGCCCAAGGATACCATAGGCAGAGGGTAAAATAATAAAGGGGAAAAAAAAGCCATTCTTTTTACATAAAATCATTTAATGTTTTCTTTGTTAAAATACACTCAATCTAGATGCAGTAGATCAGGTGAACAGAGTGTTCAGGATTTGAACTCCACCAGGAGCTGATTTCATCTGTGTCCTCCCTGACTCTGGTCACAGAACATTCACATCTATAAATCTGCGTACTGAATATGATGCAAATGATGTAATCAGTACCTAACGCATGGGTATATAATTACGTAGTGGCCACTGCACAAGGTATCAACAATGCAGCCTCAAAATATACGATGTATAGTAACTTGTCTATCTCCAAAAATAATTAAGACACTAAGCGAACACCTTAATTAGTCCAAAATAAATGCAAATTGCTAGCTCCTGTGAGGAGCAGTGCATGCAGAGACTTGGTTGTATGGCCAGTTGTTAACAGAAAGCTTCTGGAATTCCAACATGCTTCCTCACAGTGTTGTCCTGAGTGTGAGGATAAAAATAAGGAGTACATAGCTTGGCCAAGCTGCTGAATCTCATGTTCTAGTGAGGTCTGGAGTTACTGTAATTTCTAATGGTTTCCAGAGAGCGCAGCAATGTTCTTTTTTTTCTTTTTGGTACTGGGGATTGAACCCAGGAGCATTCTGCCTCTGAGCTATATCCACAGCCCTTTTTAAATTTTATTCTTTTGAGACAAGGTTTCATTAAGTTGCTGAGGCTGGCCTTGAACTTGTGATCCTCCTGTCTCAGCTTCCCAAGTTACAGGGATTACAGGCATAAACCACTGCACTCAGTGCAACATTATTTTCTCACTCTTAAGCCATGAGGCCTGTTAAGGAAGTTTAAAAGTTTTCTGGGTTTGAGCAGATGAACTCCAGGTCTACTGACCTGGGTACATGGGTTCCTTCAAGCTGCAAGTTTCTTTGTGAGAAGGATTTTCATTCTTCCCTCCTTAGATCTGATCAAGCAGTGCAGGAGAGCATCTTCACTTGAATGAGAGCTTGTTTCTGTGTGAGCTTCAAGCCCTCTTTCTTAGCCTCACTCCCAACACCAGGGTCCAATCTGTAGTAGCCCTCCAACAAGTAGTCTTGAGCTGTGTGCCAAGTTCCAACAATGAGAATAGCCTTCCCTAAAGAGTTTATATACCAGKAAAAATCTTCCAAAGGATTTAGGCAAGAAGGAAAATCTTATTTTACCACCATGCAGGCAACCCATCTAAAATACAGCCAAGGATATTTGTTTAACATTATTCTTGATAGTACCAAATAGATTAAATTATCTGTCAACCAAAAGCAAATATGGTTCCCTTGAGAAAAACCAGATGTGGGTATTGTGGTCCAGTAGTAACAAATAAAACAATACTATTAATGCTATAAAAACAATTAGTATGATATTTAATGGAGTTAGTATTGTCTCTATTTAGTAGCATCACATTTAATTAATCACTACCATGAAATCCATAAAATGTTTGACAACACTATTTGTGGATATCTTCTAGGGCAGGGTCTTTTGCCTTTTAACCTATCACTGTTTCCACTGTGGTGTTTTTTTTTTTTTTTTCTTTTTTTGCAGTACTGGAGATTGAACCTAGGGCCTCATGCATGCTAGACAAGCACTCTAYTACTGAGCTATACCCCCAGCCCTTTTTATTTTGAGCCAGGATCTCACTATTGTCAAAGCTGGCCTTGACTTTACAATCTGCCTGCTTCCCAAGGGACTGGGATTACAGGTGTGTACCACGAAATTCAGCTATGACTCATTTTCTAGCAGAGGTGGAGGCTGGASAGTGGCTGGGATTATAGGTGTGCACAGTTGTGACCAGATATGGTTCACTTTCTAGCAGAGGTTGAGGAGAGCTTTGATTTTTGTGTGTGTAAGAGCTTTCCATAAGACTGTTTGACTCATGGGAACAATTATAGTGTAAATCCTCTGTCACTCAGAGATCAGGAAGACCCAACAAAACCCAGAATAGACCTAGCTGGGCAGCAAAATCTGGCTATATCCAGAACTGCTACTCCTTCCTATAACTGAACATTTGTCACTACCAGTCACCAGCCCTCCCCCCATCCCCRGACCCCCGCCTTTTTTCTGGCACCTTGGATTGAACCCACTTTACCACTGAACCACATCCCCAGTCCTTTTTATGTTTTATTTTGAGTCAGGGACTTGCTAAGTTGCTCAGGGCCTCCTTAAATTACTGAGKCTAGCTTTGAACTTGCAATCCTCCTGTCTCAGCCTCCTAAGACTCTGGGATTACAGATGTATGCTACCATACCAGGCCCAAAGCCCCCATTCTTTACCTAAGAACTCATCTCCTGTCCCTATGGAATGTGCACATATGAACAGTGCTAGACATCGGAATGGAGAAACTTTACTTTGGAACTCAGACTTAATGTAGACCCTCCTTTCAATAGGAACTCTTCTTCCAAACCCAGAGAAGAATGTAGACTATGGTCATCTTCCTGGTCCTTTCAATTTCAAAGGCTCATAATAATCTGGGCAGCACATTCCAAGTCGCTCCCTTCCATAGGAAAAGCGTAGAACCACATAGTCTAGGCAGCAACTTATTTCTTCCTTGTCACCAGTGGGAAGGGCTGCCTGCCTTTAAGGAAACTCTTACTTTGTATACAGAATTTATTCATGTGGTCCTGCTTCCAATGAACAACAGRAATGCAGGACTGCCATAAAAAGAACAGAGGAGTGAGTTGTGGGCAACAGAGGCATCCTTGGGAAAGATGCTGCTTTGCCAGTCTGGCTTGAATCACCTGAGAAATGAGGATGAGCTCTCACATTTTCCACTGATAATCCACCTACCAACCAGCTCTGCCACTGCCAGTTGTATAACCAAGGTCAACCAACCTCTCTGGTCAAGGTTCTCATTCATAAAAGCAAAGATAATACACCTACTTCACAGAGTTGTGAGGAARCTTCACTAAAAAAATATATGTGAGAGCCTGTGTTTTATAGCAGGCACTCAATAAATGTTGAATGAATGAAAACCATTTTATACCACAAACTTGAGGGTAAAACAAAATGACTGCTGGGGCCAATGCTAGCCCCTGATGGACACAGAGGCAATCTTCCCCTTCCGTCTCTAGGCATGAGCCATAGCCTGGCTGGAATGCCTCCTCTTAGGTCTGATCACTGTTCCTCTGTGGGGTGTAGGGACTTGGCTCAAAAACGATGATACCAAATGATGATACCAAGGGGAAATGACAAAAAGAACATTCTCTAGTTGTGTGATAAATACTTGAGAATGTGCGCTGAGGAGCTGAAACTTTGTCTTGCATTTTATCTTCTCCCTCAGTCCTTGCTTCCTGCTGCTGAGTTGTCAGTGGAACTGTATCACAGCTCAACAGTTTCTAATTTCTGGCCCCTCTATGGGAGGGAGGAGTAAGGAAAATAAAAGAACCTCAAATCATTCAGTTTGCTATTGCCCCTGACTGAACAGAGACTAGGATAACAAACAACTATTGGTTAAATAGTTTAAATGTCTCCATAATCCCTTTAGAAAATAGAAAGTTGAACAGTAACAAGTTCSGAAGGCTGAATCTTAGGGGAGATGATGTCTCTAATGCAAGGAGAGGTATAATTTTTCAGACATTGTAAGTAATATAAAGCTGCTTTGGATAAGTCCAGGGGTACCTAGGTAATGAAAATTCACTGAAGAAGGGAAGGGAAAAAATGTAGATCTTCTCTGGGATGCCCTTAACTACATTCACAGAGGCAGGGTAGGCCTRGCGCAAGGGGGCTCAGTGAAACGCTTTGCCATTCATGTCACTTAGGAATGTTCCTGTCCTGGGAGCCACTCCCTGGGAAGGAATCTGTGATGACAAGTCTGGCTCCATGCTCAAGCTCTTAATTCTGCTCAGTAAACAAAGTTAGTAATTTGTAAAATGTTTGTGATTTCCTAATTTTGTATTATAAAATGGAATTAGGAACATAAATAGTAACAAGTAACAAAACCCCAACCCTGCCCTGGACCATCATTCTCTCAACCACCTCTGCGGAGGCCAATAAGTTTGGAAAGTTTTTCACAGTTTTCAAGTTTGAGTGACTCTGCTTTCTGTTTCAATCGTTCATCTCTGTATAATCCTGCTAAATTTGTCAACTCCGATTCTGAAAGATAAAAAAAAAATAACAAATTCATCAAGTGTTGAGCTTGTTTCATTTCAACATTTCTAGAATCAAAGTGCCATTTATTTATTTATTTATTTATTTTGGGTACCAGGGATTGAACTCAGGGACACTCAACCACTGAGCCACATCCTTAGTCCTATTTTGTATTTTATTTAGAGACAGGGTCTCAGCTGAGTTACTTGCAGCCCACTTTTGCTGAGGCTGGCTTTGAGCTTGAGATACTCCTGCCTTGCCTCCTAARCTGCTGGGATTACAGGCATGCGCCACCATGCCCAGCCACAGTGCCTTTTATTTTAATGCTTTTCTTTTCCTTTAAATTTAAGCAACAGCTCTTCCTGTAATCTGCCTGAGGTGATCTGTGAAAATGATTACCTACTCTGTTGACCCGAAAAACCCACAAAATGATGTAAATCAAGAGGCTCTCAAGTTCARTTTAAGAACACCCATGAAACTGCATAGGCCATCAGGGACATGCATAGGTGAAAAGATACCAAGTACCTGAAAGATGTCACATTTTTTKGGGGGGTGGGTGTACAGGGGTTTGAACTCAGGGGCACTTGACCACTGAGCCACATCCCCAGCCCTATTTTTTAGTTTAAGTCTAAAAAGCACCTTCAGACAGGGTCTCACTGAGTTGCTTAGTGCCTCACTTTTGCTGAGGCTGGCTTTGAACTCGTGATTCTTCTGTTTCAGCCTCCTGAAGCAAAGATGTTACTTTAAAGAAATAATGTGTGCCATTCTGGAGTTATAATGGTGGAATTGGGAGGTATGCCAGGCCAAAGAGTGGAGCTGGTCATAGGGTTGATGGCCCAAAAAGAATGCTGAATTTTTGCTGCTCATGCTTAAAAATGCAGAGAGTAATGAACTTAAGGGTTTAGACACAGATTCTCTGATCACTGAACATATCCAAATGAACAAAGCACCAAGATGCGCTGCTGTATTTACAGAGCTCCTGGTCAGATAAACCATGCCACATTGAGATGATTCTCACTGAAAAGGAACAAACTGTTCCTAAACCAGAAAAGGAGGTTGCACAGAAGGAAAAGATRTTCCAAAAGAAACTGAACAAACAGAAACTCATGGCACGAGAATAAATTCAGCATAAAATAAATGCAAATAAAAATAAAAAAATAAAATAAACTTAAGCAACGTTTACTCATTTATTCAAGAAACATGTTCTAGCACTAGACCAGGTGCTGAGGATTAAAGGACACCTGTGATCCTGCTGTCCTACAGTATCTGTGCTCTATTATAAAAGCACTGGATGTAGTTCTTATCTATAAAACATTTGGCACCAGACTTAGGAAATATGCACGTGTGCAGTAAGAGGAGACTGTCACCACCTTTCCACCAATGGTATTCAGATGGCAGTTGGAGAGACAGAAGTCCAATGGCCTGTTCCTGTCATCTGAAGCAAAGACAGCTGCTTCATTCTTTCTCTGGCCTTGATGGATCATAACTCACATGACACAGGGCCTATCTCTGTTGGGAAGTGTCTACAGAAGGCCAGGATGCTAGTGGCTTTCTTTACTGCCTCTCTCTCTCTCTACATGTGGGGTCCCCAACTTAAAGGCCAAAGGCAACTGGCCTCTTTTTTTTTTTTTTTTAAAGAAAGAGTGAGAGAGAGGGAGAGAGAGGGAGAAAGAGAGAGAATTTTAATATTTCTTTTTTAGTATTTGGCGGACACAACATCTTTGTCTGTATGTGGTGCTGAGGATCGAACCCGGGCCGCACGCATGCCAGGCGAGCCCAACTGGGATCTTTTAAAAGTGAAATCATAGTGTCCAACTAGCTCAGTCAGTAGAGAATGAGACTCTTAAAATGAAATCATCTGGATTTGGTGACCTTTGTCTCCTTGGATAAATGAATTTCATTTTCTCTTCATGATAGAGAAGGTCATTCTATTTTTAACTAGAATATAATCTCTGCTGTGTTCCCTGACCCTATGGTGGTTTGGCTCTCTTGACTTTTTATTCTTTTGTGAGGTTTCAGAAATATTCTAATTGAGGAAGGCCTAAAAGGCATCTTCAGAGGTATGCCCATCAGGACACATTAGTAGGAGGGCATGCCTGGATGGCGTATGGCTTCATACAGCCTCCTACAGCAGGCAGCTACTTCATATTTAAAGGACCACACTTGTGAAAATACTATCTTAATCATTTGGAAATATATCTAATCATTCTTAATCATCTTGGTGACAGATTTTGCTTTTCTTGAGGGAACAAGAGGCACCTGTCTGATTAATCAGCAAACTGCCTGGAAACAGGAATTAATATTTAGCCAGGAGAAACAATGGCCATTGCTTTCTGAATAAGTTTCTATCAAAACAAAGCACTTGCTGGTATTTCTGTTCACAATAATTCTATTTGCACCGCATAGGACTCAAAGTGCGATTAAGTGCAGGACTCCAGGGTGAGGGATGGATATGCATGAAAACCCTCCCTCTACAATGGAGCTGCAGAGCCTGGGCTCTAGCCCAGCAGTGACTTGGCAAGCAGCGAGTCCCCTAGGCTCTAGGACAATGTGCTCTCACCCCGTGGGGAGGGTGCCTGCAGTGCCAGCAAGCTAGAGCTTGCCTTGGCAGAGTCAGCCTTGCAGGTGATGGCGCTTCATAGAGGATCATGTGCGGCACCCAAATGAAAAATCCTCTGCTCCGGTGTCCTGCCCAGAACTCAGCACTATTTCTCCAGCCTCTCTGGCATGTGGGAAACCTAATCAGGAATCTTCCATGAAATCAGTCTATGCTTTTGGTCCTTCAGAATCACAGTTACACCAGTATATGGAATAGATTCTGTGGTTTTGCTTTTCATGGACATTATTTCCTTAGGTTTTTTGGTTACCGGCCTTTTTACAATGCCTCATTCCCTGAATTTTCATTCCAGAAAACACTAAAGGCTACTGATTCCTCATATTTTCCACATTGGAGAACACTGTTAACAAGCTGATGAAAGATAACTGTACATGTGTGAATGCTTTTCTCAAAACATCACATTCTTTTCATAAAACTATTGAAATTGGGTCAGGGACCCCTGCTCCAAAGTGATGACCTGGCATAAGGTCAGCATTTCAAGGAGTGGTGTCCCACACCCTCTCTACCACACTCTTGAGAAACCTCTCCAAGCTATAGGTGAATCCCTTCACTCTTACATGTGCAAAGGGTCAACTCAAAGAATGTTATTTTGATGAATTTCGTTAATATTCAGTAACTTTTAAGTAGCTGAAAAAAATCTTTGGGAGGGGAGGATCAAGAGAACATCTTTTCTTAACAAAATGTTCCTCTTTGCCCCTAATGCCAGTATAACAGATGGACAGAGCACTGAGCCTTGAAGGTAAACTGACTCTGGCAAATTGCCAAGCAAAGCAAATCCCAGAGCCTCTCTCAAGAATAGTCTGTGCAAGAGCCCAGATTGGAGCTTGACATCTGGAAGGTCCCAACAAATCCCAACTACCCTCAGGATGCAGCCCCGTGAGATATTGTTGCCACCAGTCTACAGTGCAAGGCCATGCAAAAACCTGAACTCCACCAGGAATCAGGCATTTAKATGCCAGGCACTGTGCTGAGTTATACCCTCACAATCTCCTATATTCCATATACCCTTTCCAGGAGGAAGTTAATTTCCATTTTCAAAGCCTCTGCCTCTACCCACTCATTAACCTGTTCAAGGGCATGTTAAGAAGTGCGCCTCTGTCAGTGCAGGGTCCGGGTCAGGGTCTCAGTCAGCTCAACTAGGCCAGGATGCAGTTCCCAACTGTTACTTTTGTTCCGCCCCTCCCAGTGGCAGAGACAACAGGGCAATCAGTGTTCATAGTAAAGAATAACTCATAAAAATTAACCCAGATTAAGTATTCTAAGGAAAAGCAGAGAACAGAAATAAGACTCAAAAAGACAATGGCTAACTTTGTTTTGATAAAAACAGTTTCCATTTGTATTTTGCCAAGAGTGAACTCTGTACTCAAGTGGGTTTATTTTTACAACCTCCAAGTGCTAAATTTAACCTTGTTGGCTGCATTTGCTGCTGGATTCAGAAGGCAGATGCTGCCTGTTCTCAAATGGCACTTGAGCAGTGTGGAGGCTCCATTCAGCCATTGTACTTAAATGCCAGAAATAGATTTTTAAGGGGTACGTGATATGAACCCCTGTTCAGAGTCTGTGAGTGCACGCAGCCCACTTACTCGTTGGATTTTTACTTGTGCCAAAGCTCTAAAACTAGGCCTCAAGTAGATGGGAACAAAAGTTTAGAAGCCACCTTCACTGCAATTTCTACCAGAATTTTTTGTATAGTTCTAACATTTTAATGCCACAGAAGAAGGGGTGTGTGTGTGTGTGTGTGTGTGTGTGTGTGTGTGTAGGATGTGGATTTTTTGTATAGTTCTAACATTTTAATGCCACAGAAGAAGGGGTGTGTGTGTGTGTGTGTGTGTGTGTGTGTAGGATGTGGGGGTATATGTGTGTTTTAAAGATATGAAATTTAGATTTTTCCATTCAATTCTTGCATTGAGCAACATATTCAAGACCCTCCTAGTGTCCAGAATAATGGAGATGTTTAGGAATTCAATGGCTTTCACTTGTTTTGGATCCATCTTTATAAAGTCTTTTAGCCCCAGGCCTTTATCTTATTCCCAAAATTCTTCCTTCCTTTCTCCCTCTGTCCCTGCCTTTCTTTCTCATTTTCTTTCTCGTACAATGGATTGAATCCACGGGCACTTTACTTCTTAGGTACACCCCCAGCCCTTTTTATTTTTTATTTTCAGTCTTACTAGGTTGCTGAGGTTGGCCTTGACTTTGTAATCCTCCCGCCTCAGCCTACCAAATTGCTGGGATTACAGGAGTGWGCCAGCGCACACAGCTTACCCATTTTTTCATTAAAAAAATCAACTTCCTCCTCCTGTTGAATTGCCCATTATGTCCTAGAGTCACTGCCCACCAATTAGTGTACCTTGAGAGGGCGCTGAGTTCTGCTATACAGAAATAAGAGACCCATAAAGATCAGGAATAGACATTAGCCCTGATCTGTTATTCATAATCCTCAGCATTTCCATTCCTTTCCACTCCTGAGAATGCACCCTCCAAAGACATTTGTTGAGCACCTGTTTTGAAGCAAGGACTGTGCCAGCAGCTTGTGACATTAAAATTAGTTAAGACATCGTCTTATCTTTGGAGAACCAGTAGTCCTGCACGTCAGATTGACAGGTACCCATGGAACATTAATACTATGTAATCAGTACTATGCTAGCAGGAAGAACAAAGTGGTTTAAGATCATACAGGAAGGACAGATGAACTGGGGGTTGGGGTTGGGAGTGTGTRATGGGTCAGTGAGTTACTTAGCTATGACCAAGTAACTAATTTTAACAGACACTGTTAGATGTTTAACTATACCCAGTAATAAGGTTTAAAAGATGACTTAGCATTTACTTTGAAAAAAAAAATTAACCAAAGCCTAGTTTTATAATATACAATTCCTAATGGTTTGTGTGTGTGTGTGTGTGTGTGTGTGTGTGTGTGTGTGTGTTTGTGTAATTCAAGTGGAATACAAAGTGAAGCTGCTAGCTGAGGTTGGGCTAGTCCAGCTGCCAGCTCTCCCTAGTAACAACAGGAGTTGTAAGCCAAGTGGCAGATATTGTCACTCTCACTGTCTCCAGAGAAGAAAAGAGTGTGCAGGACTTGCTCATATTCACCCATACTGAAGAGGCAGAATCAGAGGGTTTTTTTATTCTGTGTGAGGGTAGGGGACACCTGACTCAATAGGAGTAACATTTAAACATTTGGCTTGATTCAAAAAGTTACGCTAGCTCAATCAGATTTCCCTCTGGGGAATGTGGATTTTGGAAATTATGGACCAAAACTGTGGACTAGCATTAAGAGCTTCACGAGGGAGCTTGTAATGAAGAAATGGGCCAATGACAGGTGGGATCTGGAAGCTGGGACAAGGAGGGTAGCAACAGTTATGAAGGAGAGATGTTTGAGGAGATAAAAGGCAGATGGCGGAGATGACAGTGCAGCAGATGGGCAGAGAGAGGCAGAGACCCAAAGAGAGACAGGCAATAAGCACTGCCTAAGTTTCTACAATTTCTAAGTCCTGAGCATATGAATCCTGTCAGTAATTTCCTCCCTTTTTGCATCCCGAATGGGCCTCTGTCTCTGTTTACATAAATATATAACCCCAACAAGAAGAGACAAGGAATCAGGAAGCTGGGTCCACCTTATGCTGGGAGTCGGGCCATTAGTGAAAGCCCCTTTGATAGATCTTACTTTGCTGTTTCTCCTTCCAACAACTTGTCTGGATGTAATCAATGTAATCCTTCTCTATCGTCTTCTCCAGGTCATGCAAAGAAGCCCCTCTATAGGCCTTGTCAAAGTTTTTATCCACGAAGTAAGGCACCTGCAGGTTCTGAGTTTCTCTGGAAATGGTGTAGCCCAAGGTCCTGAAACAAAGAGTGAAAGGCTTGGAGAGTTTGCAGTATTTGGCAATGTCACTCTTAGCTCTAGCCTCGTGGACTCTATGTCACCATCACCTCCTCACAGGGGAGAAGCAGATACCAGTTTTTTTTTTTTTTAATATATATATTTTTTAGTTGTCAATGAATCTTTATTTAATTAATTTATTTATATGCAGTGCTGAGAATCAAACCCAGTGCCTCACACACACTAGGCGAGCGTTCTGTCACTGAGCCACAACCCCAGGCCCAGAGGCAGATACCATTTTTATAATATACTCAAAACTTCTTATTTCCCTAGTAAAGTAGAAAGCAAAAAGCCTTCATTATCAATATTAACATGAGCACGTTCATATTGTAAATTCAGCTTCAGCATATATAGTTTATTCTCTTTAAAGATTCATTAGTGTCCTTTCTAACTCCACCATGGTGAGAGAAGGACTTTCTTCAATAGAACTCTTCAGAATTCTATTGATCCTTCAGAAACCACTGGTTGCTGTTCTGCAGCTGACCAGATGATGTCACTGTAGAACAACAAACTCTATCTCATAAGGCACATGTGAGACTGCTTACAGCATTTGAGTTTGCACTATGACTACTTTAAATATAAAATCAGTGTTTTCTACAGTGAAAGGTGAAACAAAGCGTTAGTAATATATCAGCAAAACCTTCAAGACTTTCATTCACCAGACTATTATTAAGGAAGATTTATAAGTATTTGACTTACGATTTATAGAATAGACTATATGGAGGATTAGCAGCCAGCAGCTGAGTAATGACAGATACAATCACAATCACAAGAACTGGAAGTAACTGAATAAATGCAGAATACGTGGTCTAAAAATAAAGAAAAAAATATTTAGTAGAAGTTTCCTTTCTCAATATAAAAAAATACAAATGAAAAGAGGTCTCAAAGAAAATACAAATTATCAAAGCACTGCACAGAGTCCATAATGCCCAAGGCTTTTCTGGCAAGGCTGTATCAGCAACTGAGAGGTACCATGCAACCTTATTTATACTCTTTGCTGAGAAGGATGAAGGAGGCCTACCCACAAACTGGACTGACTCCCAGCAATCTTCCTGCAGCCCTAGACCAATGAAGCAGACACCTCTAACTAAGGTCTTCCCAGACTGTGACTCTCACAGCGCTGGGACTTTAGAAGCCATATTAATATGAGGCAACTCTTGCCTTGGCCACAGCTGCCTGAACTGGGAGACATCTAACTCTAGCAGGGATAACCATGTTCTTCCTCCTTGGGGGGAATTTGGGGTTGAGATTCATCACCCTTTGCTGCTAGGCATTTGAAAAAAGGATACATACTCACTCTTACAAGCTGTGAACCAGCCATTTGAAAGGGGAAGTAGAACAAGTTAGACTGCTAGAAAGAACAAGAGAGAGGCAGAGTGGTGGGAAAACTGGAGATAATTTGGCCCTAAAAAAACATGGTGAGCCGGGTGTGGTGATGCATGCCTGTAATTCTAGAGACTCAGGAGACTGAGGAAGAAGGATTTCAAGTTCAAGGATAGTTTCAGCAACTTAGCAAGACCCTAAGCAATTTAGCGAGATCCTGTCTCAAAATAAAAAATAAAAAGGGCGGGGGATGTAGCTCAGTGACAAAGTGCTCCTGGGGTTAATCACCAGTACCAAAAAAAAAAAAAAAAAAAAAAAAATTATGGTGAGCTTAACTGCCTGGAAGCCTGCCAGCACCCAGTTCGTGGTTCCTATCTGTCAGGAGGCCCAGCTGTGCTTCTTGCCATTGAATTTCATGAGACTCCCTTGGTTGGGTTAACCTCTTAGTTCTGTTTTTTTGTTTGTTTTGTTTTTTGTAGTACTAGGAGTTAACTCAAGGGCACTCTACCATTGAACTATATTACCATACCTTTTAATTTAATTTAATTTAATTTTTTTGCTTGTTGCAGTACTGGGGATTAAAYACAGGGATATTTCACCACTGAGTTATATTCCCAGCTCTTTTTATTCTGAGATAGAATCTTGTTAAATTGCCCTGGCTAGCACTGAATTGGCAATTCTCCTGTCTCAGCCTCCTGAATTGCTGGGATTACAGGCGTGTGCCACCACTCCTGACTAGTTCTACATATTTCAGAGGAGGGTCCTATTTCTGTAGTCATGAAAACCTTGATCAAGATATAGCGCCATGGGGCTGGGGTTGTAGCTCAGCGGCAGAGCGCTGGCCTAGCACATGAGAGGCACTGGGTTTGATCCTCAGCAACACATAAAAATAAATAAATAAATAAAATAAAGGTATTGTGTAAAAGAATTAAAAAAAAAAAAAAAAAACCTCCTTGCCAGGTTTGGTGACACATGCCTATAATCCCAGCAGCTTAGGAGGCTATGGCAGGAGGGCTGCAAGTTCAAAGCCAAACTCAGCAACTTAGCAAGGCCCTAAGCAATTTATGAGACCCTGTCTCAAAATAAAAAATAAAATAAAAAGGGCTGGGGATGTGGCTCAGTGATTAAGTGCCCCTGGGTTCAGTCCCTGGAAGGAAGAAGAAAGAAGAAGAAAAAAGAAGAAGAAAGAAGAAAGAAGAAGAAGAAAGAAGAAAGAAGAAGAAAGAAGAAAGAAGAAGAAGAAAGAAGAAGAAAGAAGAAGAAAGAAGAAGAAAGAAGAAGAAGAAGAAGAAGAAGAAGAAGAAGAAGAAGAAGAAGAAGAAGAAGAAGAAACCATCCCCATAGGAAGACTGAAATACTGGCAGAGTCTGAAATACTGGGAGAGTCACAAAAACTAGGTGGGCAGGATGGGGTTACCATTCTGGCCTACTTGGGCCAATGATTCAGCTCTTCACACTATTGCCTCTGCTTCCCTAAAGGACACTTTGGCAACATATCTCAAGTTTAACTTCTAGAACTTGATCATGCACAATAAAGGTGGGCTCAGTACAACTGTTTATGAGAAGCAGCTCTCCTTTCTTCCCTAGGCACCTGAGGTTTATCGTCTTCCTCTTCTTTCCGTGTCTGTGTTTTCTCATGTCGATGCCGCCGTCGATAATAGTGAGTGTCATCTGTCACATTTGAAAACATATGAATATTTCCTGGAAAAGAAAGAAAATAGCCACTTAATAGAGGATATGGCAAACATTCCTTTCTTGCAAGATATTTACTCCAAACTAGGTTCTTTAAGGATACAGTATTGCCCTATTTTACCCAGTAGAAGAGAATAGGTAAGACATAAGTCAGCTGGAGACAGATGGTGCTTAGCTCTTCTGACTTGGTTTAAATAGTCTTTTGCAACTAATAAGGGAGAGAACACTGAAAGGCTCTGAGAGAGAGAAAGTACATTTGGGCCATGAATCCTAGGACTACTTCTGTGACTAAAATCAGATTGTGTCACTGGTACCACAAAAATTTTTCCATTTATTTCCTGTATGTTGAATTATCTCAATTTCTAACACACTTAGAAGATACTTTTTAAAACATTTTAACACTGAATTGGATCTCATTGGTCAATCTTTTTTGTTTTTTAGAGATGGGATCTTGCTATGTTCCTGGCTAGTTTTTTTTTTTTTTTTTTTGCAGAATCAAGGATGGAACCCAAAGGCACTCTACCACCGAGCTATATCCAATCCCTTTTTACTTTTCCACTTTGAAACAGAAAGATATCGAACTAGCTGGGATTACAGGTGTGTGCCACTGCACCTGGCTCTAAGCTGCTCTTGAACCTGTACACTTAGGTGATCCTGCTGTCTTAGACTTCTGAGTAGCTGGCACATACCACTGGGCCTGTGTTCTTTTCTTTTGCTTTTTGTGTGTTTGTGTATGTGTACTGGAGATTGAACCCAGGTCTTTGCCACAAAGTTATATCCCCAACCCTTTTTATTTGGAGATAGATAGGGTCTCACCGGGTTATTCAGTGTCTCACTAAGTTGCTGAGGCTGGCCTCAAACTTCTAATTGTCTGGCCTCAGCCTCCAGAGTTGTGGGAATTACAGCCATGTACTGACGGGGTAATTTTCTAATATATTTATAACTGCTATTTTTATAATGATAATAATATTTTTTCTATTCATTTATAAAACACTTAAATATATTTATCTAATCCTCATAGCAACTTGCAAAGTAGACATTATGATCAGCCCCATTTTTGGGGTGAGGAACTAGATAATGAGAAATGCTAAATACTGGTCAAAATTATCCACAACTAGAGGCTTGAGATTTGCTTAATTCCTGTGCAACTGATTTGAAATTCCTGTTGTTCCCATCAAACCACTGTCCTTTTGTTTAGACCTTCAAACAGAAGCTTGTTACAAGCCATAAATAAAGAAATATTTTTAAGAATCATAACATTGGTCAGGCGCAGTGGCACATACCTATAATCCCAGTGATTTGGGAGACTGAGGCAGAAGGATTACAAGTTCAAGGCCAGCTTGGGCACCTTAAAAAAAGAAATCTCAAAATTAAACAAAATGAAACATAAAACAAGGGCTGGGGATGTAGGTCAGTGGTAGAGCAATCCTGGCCTCAATTCCTGGCAAAAAAAAAAAAAAAAAAAAGAATCATAGCTTTGGGTTACTAACCTGTAGGAAAATGGCCTCCAAAGAAGACATTGAATAGCTCTTCTGGAGTGATGTCGGCTTCAAAGTCCCTGTAATAATTATAAGGTCTGGCTTGAGGTGCAGTGAAAGTCACCTGTTCATCTCCATATTCATCATAGCGGAGTCTCTTATCAGGATTGCTCAGAACTGCAAAGGCATTTCCTATTGCTGCAACCAAGAAGAAGCACATGAGCACAGTCTTTACTGTGGTTGAGGGTAATCACAGCAGTAGCAATGAGGAGCCCAGAGTTGATTGGTGTTAGACAACTTTCCAAGGGCCCAAGGAGAGGATCTTTGGCCTTCAAATTTCCCCAAAGTGCTTGTGATAGCTTGTGATCTAGTTTGGTAAGCCAGAAATAACAACGCTGAAATCAGACAAATAAAAACTGCTGATGTGAAAGTTAACTCTTAATCAATTCTTGTCAGGCGCAGTGGCCCTCGCCTATAATCCCAGCAGCTAAGGAGGATGAGGGAGAAGGACTCCAAGTTCAAAGCCAGCTCCAGCAACTTATCGAGGCCCTAAACAATTTAGGGAGGACTGGAGATGTGGCTCAGTGGTTAAGTGCCGCTGGGTTCAATCCCTGATACCCCCCCAAAAAAAAACTTCTTGAAACTGGTCCTGGTGGGCCACTGGGGGAGGCTAGGGCAGAAGAGAATCATAAGTTTGAGGCCAGCCTGGACAACTCAGTGAGACCCTGTCTCAAAAATAAAATAAAAAAATTTTAAAAGGGTTGGAAATGCAGCTCATTGGTAGAGTACATTTGCCTAGCATGCAAAGGCCCTGGGTTTAATCCCCAGTAACACCAAAAAATAAAAAATAAAAAAGTTCTTACATCATCATAGCTGTCCTGGAAATCGGGACCCAAGTGCCTCAGTTCAGACTGCAAATCACTGCAAGTCTCAGACATGTTGGGGAAATGTCTTCCAATTGTCCAACACTCATGAATCAAAAATATGTTCTTGGTTGGACACAGTAGCACATATTTGTAATCCCAGTGACTCAGCAGGCTGAGGCAGGAGGATTGCAAGTTTGAGACCAGCCCCAGCAATTTAGCAAGGTCCTAAGTAACTTAACTAGACCCTTTTGGATCCTTATCCAAAATAAAAAGGGCTGGGGAATGTAGCACAGTGGGTAAGCACTCCTGTTAAATCCCCAGTATCAAAAAAAGGAAAAAAAAATTGACAAGATACCATACAGGTGCTCTATCATGTTAGGTTGTCCTAGTATTAGTAATGCTAAGTTGGATCACTTGGTTATAGTGGTGACACCCAGGTCTCTCCATTATAGAGGAATTTTTCCCCTTTGTAATCAGTAAGTATTCTGTGGGATAAAACTTTAAGTTCATGGAACAACAATCTATCATCCAATAGTTTTAGCATCTACTGATGAGTCTTACATTAATCAATGACTTCATTGTGAATCATGCTCTTACAGGGTACTTTACCATTGAAATAAATCTCCAACCCCCTCCTCCCTCTTTTTTTTTTTTTTTTTTTTTTGTTGTGCTAGGGATTGAACCCATGGCTTTGTGCATGTGAGGCAAGCACTCTCCCAACTGAGCTATATCCCCAGCCCCTCCAGCCCTTTGTTATTTTGA